CTGCCACTATTAAACTCAAGGAGAAAGGTGTTAAGAGCTGTGGATAATACTTGTAATATAAGGAGCCAAGTAGTCCGATCCCAAGTCGACTTACTCCTTTTTACTTTCAATCATTTTCATGCAGCAGCAGACTTTTTAGAAATCTACAGTTGCTGCATCATCTTGTATCTTCCTTTAATGCTGCTACTCTCAATTCCCCTTCTTACTCTAACTCTAAATGGTGTTGTTGTAATTTGGCCAATGAAAAACAAAGGCCTGCAGATGAAGGCGTACTGTTTATTTTGTCTGTTCAAAGCAGTTATTCTTCACTGTTTTCAGGCCTGTCTTTGAACAACTAGTTGGCATCCTTCCTTGCACAAAGAGATAGAGGCCTGTTGCACCTTAAGGACAAACAGGTCCCAGGTGGACTCCATTCCATTTGCTGCAACAGACCAGCACAGCCTGCACTTCTGAATGTTAATGCTTGAAAGTGTCCCTGGACCTGGCCGCCTACATCCTTTGCTTCTGCTGCATAGAGGGATGCTGCGTCAGCCTTCCCTAACCTAGTCTGTTCCAGATGTGTTGGACTGTGATCCTCAGTAATGGATGTGTGGGCAGGGAATGATGGGAGTTGCTTCCCAACACATCTGGAAGGCACAGGTTTGGAGAAGACTGGTACAGGATGCATCTTAGCAATATAAAGTATGTTATGTGGAAAGGGATACAGTGAGAGGAGGGGTCAATATTTAGAGATTTTATTTAGACATGCATGTTTGTGTTTTCAGCTTTTTTGTGAAGCATTCTGGTTTGATGTAAAACCAGAGGGAAGAGGTTTTTAAGGACTGAGTGAAAGAAAAAAGAAGTATAAGAAAGACGTTTTCCAGTCCAGGGCTACAGATTATGTATTTAGTAGAGCAGGTGTGCTGCGTAACTTCACATAACTATAGTGTGAAGACAAAAATAGCAAATAAACACATTTTCATTTATATTGACTAGCTGCTTGTTAGTTTATAATCTTACCTGTGTGAATTGGTTTCCTCTAGTAACAAGAGCAATACCACCAAACAACAGTGCTGTTCAGTTTGGAGCAGGGGTCAAGGGGGCAGGTACATTTCTGTAGTTGTTCATTTCTTTTTATTACATAATGTGTGTTCCCTGATCTCCTAAACATTCATGCCAATACTATTTTAAATGTTTAATTCTCTAAAAAAATATCTACAAATGCAAAATTGAATATTATCCCGGTCCTGCTTAAATCAAACGATGTGGGGAAAGGGCAGCAGGTGGAACAAATGTATGATCTGGATCAAGGCCAGAATACCATAAAGAATGCAGTGTCTCCAAAAGCAATGAATTATCCATTGAAAATGGATGTTTTTGAGAAAAAAAAAAAAGCTTTTTTTTCCCCAGCAGCTAGTAGAGTCAGACTTTTCTTGAACTGGTTTGACGGCCACTCTGCACTATGTGCCTGATTATACTTATAAAGCAGTATGGCTGAGTTATGGTCAAATCCTCTTCTCCATGTTTAAGTTGTTGCAAATGATGGGAGTCTAGTTATATAAAGTTGTTGACACAAAGCCTGTGTGGATGATCTCTTGCTGTTCATGAATTCTGTCAAATGGTGCATGGATGTATTCAGAGTGCAGCATGAACAACCTGTAGTCTTTATACAGGGAGACTCTCCAGATACTTTTAATCTTCTGATGGTCTTTCTGTCTTCCAGGAATTCAAGGGAAAGGGCTCTTCTCTACAGAGGAGTGTTTTTCCCTTCCCCTTTAAGACACTAGAGGGAAATGTAGAAAGTAAGTGAAGCCGATATTCTTAAGTAGGCAGATCCTATCCCACTGACATATTTTCTTTGTGTTTTCTGGTTATGTTTCTCTGGTGCTCTTTTACCTCCATTCCTCATGCTCAGCAGTCACTCCATTTGGACATAAGTAGTGAAAAAGGATCCCCAGTATGCCTAAACAAAGGATCCCATTTCAAGGGATGGGGAACCAGGAGTGGGAACCAGGAGTGGGAAAAGTGAGGCCACTGAAAGCATGTGTAGGGGGCTTTGCAAGGAAAAGATCCTTTATGTATCTGCTAACAAAGGGAGGAGCAATACTTAGAATATCTTTCAGTTGCTTTGTAATGAGTAAAGAGGCCCTAAAACAATATGTTCAAGGACTTGCTCAGTATTTTTTTAAATGCAATAAGAAGGGATGAGTTCTCTACTGATCATATGCCTGTATTCTCTCATTCACTTGCACAAACAATGAGGGCACAGTTCTATGCACTAGACCTCGATTGATCCTGTGCCCTTCCAGCAACAGCCTTACAGAGTGCAAGGAATGACAGAGGCTTTGATGTCCTGTTTGCCTCCTTGAATGCATTTTAGGTTTCACCTTTGAGGCTGTCACTTTCTCGTGCCTCACTGTGAGCACAGCTTCTAGCTGAGAAAGTCGTGCATTTGTCAGGGGCCTGTTTTTCTTTCTCCTGAAGCTGCAACACTGGCCAGCAGAGAAGGAACCATTACTTTGTGCAGCGGCATGGGGTGCAGGACGGGTAAATTGGTGATATTTTTCCCCTGCAAAGTTGAAATTCAGTCTCTAGCCTCCAGCATGGAGATCCACAGTATCCTATGGCCCCTCAAATGGTGGCTGGACACTCAGACAAGTTGCCAAAATCTCCACAAAGATTGAAAGCACAGGAAAGAAGCAAGAAAGTGGGTCCTAGAGGACCTTGCCTTTGAGTAGCATTTTCAAAATGCTTGCATTCCTGCTCATTTCACAGAGGCAACATTTAAGTCTTTATTCCGTCCTTGATTTCCGTCTACCCTACCTGCCCACCCCCCCCCGACACACACAAATTCCATATGTGCATCAGGATATCAGTCTCATACAGACAGCTCGTACATGTGGTGATGTGGCATTCACTTTTGCTCATGAGAGCCTTTTCGTTTGCAGTAAACACTGCCTATGGTAGTGTGTTGCCTTTCAGGGGCTAACTGCATTGCACTGTAGTCTCATGGCTTGAATCCATTAGTAATTTGAGTAATATAAGGTTGCAATGAAACCCAGGATTTCAGTGTTGGTCACTAGAGAAATGTCAATAGAGTAGAGAAATATAGTTCAGCCAACATGCTGGAGGCAACGGAGAGCTGCTTAATGAATAAAAGAACATTTTCTAGACAGGCACAAAAAGAACTGAAAAATCACCTAAAGATTATGCTGATAAATACAAAACGTGCTTACTGGATACATTTTTGGACTCCTGGTTTTATGTAAAGTTATATGTAAGGGTCTAGTAGGCAGAAAGTACTCTTCAGACCAAGAGGTTGAAATCACTTCTAATTCTAATAATATGAAAATTAGGAAAGTGAATACTTTGTCTTTCAGGGTGGCATTGGGGATGAGCGGTAGGTGAATTGCAAAAAAAGTCCATATTCGTTGAACTGGTCAAATAATGGATACCAAAGAAAACTCATCTGTGACATTTTTTACTTACTGAGTCTGCAGCATGCATTTCCAGCTTTGTGATACTTGGGTAAGAATTGTCTGGTCTGAGGCTGCATTACTGAAAACAGTGGTCAACACGGCATCTGTGGGCACCATGGTGCCTGTTGGGAGCTCTTGCAGTACCCATGAAGCACCTTACTGTTTTCTCCCTTCAAAAAAGTACTTTAATTAAAAAGCTTTGGGGTGCTGGGTGCCTTCCTCTGCACAACAGCTGCTGGTGGCAGGCAGAGTAGAAGGGAGGCACTTCCAGCCCTGTCCTTTCTTCTGCACACACAGCCCTTTCCCTGCAGCCTCACCATCCTAACTCCCAGGCTGTAGTGTTGCTCTTACTCCCCCCTTAAAACAAATTATGATTCTGCACTTAATGACTGCTAATGCATTTTAATATATTCCCGGTCCTTTTGTCTTTGTGTATGATTTGCATTCCTTCATATTAAGCCCTATACCAAAGGTAGGAAACGTGTGGCCCGTGTGCAGGCCCCACCACTCTCCTGTGTGCCCCCTCAACCTCCCCAGTTCTTTTAAAATAATATAAACGAATGGCATCTGTAGTGACCATGGAGCACCAAACCCTTGTGCTAATCTGTAGAGCTATGTAGACGGTTGCCAACCAAAGTGCAGCCCATCAGCCAGTGCTTTGGGGGTGGGGGGTGGACTGTGGTCCACGAGGGGCATCCAGGAGTAAAATGATCTCCCACGGTGGTTCACCCTAATCTTGATTGACCTAATCATTTTGTTAAACTTTCAAATAAGCACTTGAGCTTTCACATGAAAAGTAATGCAATGCATCCATTATAATTACATTTTCCTATCTATCATTCCTTCTTTAGCCATTATCCTTGGTATAAAAATGTGTAGTTTTGCTCTATGCTACTTAGTTGTTGGTTTTTTGTTTTTTGTTTTTTTTAGCAATGGGGAGATAAATATTAGCACATTTACAAAGTGCTATTTTCAGGACCTTTAAATCATTACCATATGCAAGTTGTTGTTTCTGTTTAATTAATGTCTTGTTCATAGAGTGTAGCACCATTTATTTTTACACTAACAGCTTTTTACCTTTATTTCAAAGGTAAGTTGACCAGGGTGCATGATGGAGTAGCAGCTCTCACCAGAAAGGAGCAGAATACTGTTCTTTGCCTTGGCTTGAAGGCTGCCGTGGATTGTTTACATACAAACTGTCCTTCGGGAATGAAGACCCTTCAGCCGCTTTAAAATTTATGCTAATAATAGTTTAGCATTGAAAACCCCATCCATTTAGCATCTTAAGAAATCTCTAGCAAACATTACTCATGGTGTCTTGGAAAAATTAAGTTCCAAGTGTATGGAAAATTAGTTAATTCATACTCAGAGGATTTTTTAGTTTATTGAATAGTGTAGCAGCACTTTCACATGTCATAGCTGAAGCAAAACCACTTTATATTGTGCTGGTTTAAATCACTCAGTGTAGGGTTTGCTGATGCATACTTTTCCTACTGCTTCTATTCTCTTTTCATGCAACCTTTTTTTTAATTTGTTGATTAGGTTTGGCAAGAAAAAAGAAGATAAAGGTCCAAAAAGTGATCAGAAGGGAAGCTCCAGGCCTGGCACTCTCAGAGAAGAGGACCTAGAAAGGATGAAGGAGGAACGAGAAAGGTGAGCTGTGTGGAGAGTGTGTGTTTTGCCTGGCATGTGGTTTATTGGAGGAGGAAAACTTATTTGCATTTCAGACATCTGCAGCCAGTCTGAGTAGTCATTGCTCTGGAGGCAAGCACACCAGCGCTTATTGGGCTCTTGTACAATAAGAGCAGCCCTCCTGCTGCTCTTCCTACGCACTGCTTTTGATCTCTTGTTTCCTTATCAATGCCTTTCAGTCCCCAGCAACAGTCTTTGATGTATAACAACCCAGGACAAGGAAAAGCCACCTTCTTCCCAAAGGTCCCAGTGTGAGATTCTTTCCCAGCTGCAATGCACCATGTTGGGATTTACCTTCCTCAGCTCTGACCTTAAGCAGACATGCATTTCTGAGGGGAGTGAGTCACACATCCTCCCCCAAGTCCTGCTTTTCATGTGTAGGAAAAAGTAACTTCTCATCTGACACAATCCTGGGCCAAGGACGAGAATGTCATTTTTGCTGTTTCTAATGGCGTGAGAGCAAACACACCCCCAAAAAATGTTGAAAATTGCCATGTGCTTACATTTGTTGGTTGCAACTTTCCCTATTCCCCCCACCTCTGCCTGAATGAGCCCCAAGTGAGTCTGTGGAGGAAATATGCACAATTTTCATACTTTATATGAAAGTATAAAGTAAAATAAAAATTTTCATACTTTATATACTTTATCACTGCTCAATTTAGGCACTCTTCCTGTTTGTGCAGAGCAAGCAGCAATCACAAATGGAAATTGAGCTTAGGAACCAGCCAGCTGATTTTCAGAGAATTCTGGCAATCTTAAACATCACTTGCTGGTCTATCCCAAGTTCTGCCCAATAAGCGCTGGTGTGCTTGCCTTGTTTCCCTAGACTCAGTCATCTGTCTGATGCTCAAATTACAGGGGATCATTTGTATTTGCCTCCTTAGCTACCTTATTTAAAGGTTTATGGGGGAGGGTGATTAAAACTTGTGGGTTCCCCCCCTCCTAATTCAAGTATGATACCCTTTTCCAGATTCAAACAGGTGTGCCTATGTAAAAAAGAGAGTGAGATAACCCCCAAGAATAGGTAAACACACTATTACGCAGAGCAAGGATTACTTTCTAGATGTAGAGAGTTGTATTCAGAGCCAGAGAAAGGTTGTCATGGGTGCAGAAATAAACATCTGTCCAGGCCCTCTCTCAGGCTCAGGTTGTCATGCTCACATCTCCCTCCTTCAACCATAAACCCTACCTTATAGGCACCAAAACCAGGTTTTCTAATTAGTGCATTAGAAAACCTCAGTGGCTCGGAACTGAACTGCAGCACATTCTTTGAAGCATCTTACTGATGTAAGACCACATTACAGGTTCACAGAAGCCAAGGCTTTCTGTTCAAAATGTCCAAAGGCCAGTATTGTTCCTGTTGTCCCACCTTCACCTTGTTGATTTTCAAGCCATGCTTTTCTGGTTTGCTTTGGGAATAATAGCATTTAGCTATCAGAGCCTGGGGCCTGGAAAGCAGAAATCAGGCTGGTTCTTCATTAGGAGAGTCGGGTTCACTCCCTAGAGAGGAATAAATTTTAGCCGACATCAGCTTGTCTTTTCCCACCCACAGTAATTTGGGGGCACGAACAGTTCTTCATTCTCTTCGATAACAGTAATTCTGCATTACCAGAAGGTCTGGTGCTTCCTCTCACATTTCCCTAAGCTGGGTTCATCCTCCTGATTTCATACCTTCTTCTCAGGTAGGCCTATGCTACTTGTAAACCAGCAAGCCAGAAGCGGTCAGCCAGCCATGTATACGGTGGTGTGCTGGCTGCTTCCTCACTTTCCAGTTGTGGTTGCAGAAAGCACAAATAAGAGGTCCTTATATTTTGGCTTGGTGGGTCACAGATTGCAGTGGCCCTAAGGCTTTTGCTGATACAGTTCAACAAATTGCTGCTGTTATAATTTATCTTTTTTAAAAGAGCACCCTTTCCTCTACTTAAATACACTCAGAGCATTATCAAACCAGCTTATCATTCCTGACCATCAGAATAAATGCAAAACAATCAGAAAGCAAAACACCATCCCCCAATATCTTTTATGACACAAATGACAGCCTGTCTAATGGAGGTAGTACTTATCCTGAATATACATATAGTATATGTATTAATTAGCGTTTGGCCAAGGGCTGCATCACTAGCACTGAAATTTGTGTAATGTGTGTCTCGTATTGCTAGCCTGGGTCCATTCTTTATTTTAAACTTGTGACTCTCTGTTTGGATGCTGGCAATTTGAGAAGTATGTGTCCTTCATTTTATGGACGCCAATGTCTTTATTAGGATCCTGGCAAGCTAAGAAGTATGTATCCCATCTGTTAAAGGGCCAGTGTCATTTGCTAAAATGTTGGCAGACTTAAAGGAATGGTCCCCGTCTGTTCTAGGGCTAATGTTCCAATTGGACGTGGAGTAATTGTTGTTAACATTTCTTTGAGTGATAAATTCTCTTTCGAAATAGAATGTATTCCCTGGAGTGACAGTTAATTGGTAAGAACCTATTAAAAACAGTCAGTTCAATGCCTTTATAATTCTGGTTTATCTTCTCTAATAATTATTCACCTTTCTGACCTGGAAATGTTTGAGATTGAAATGGAGAACAGCAGGTGTGCTTAGAAGCTGATGAACCTAGATGATATTTTTAACTCACATATTTGATTCTTATCCCACAATTAACAAGAACAGAAATATCACCTTTTTTCCATTGGGTGATTTCATATCTTTTAATTCTGTTTTAAGGAAAAAGTGTATATCATATGTACTCCCAAGGGAAGTTTTCAAATTACATCACATAGGCAAGCCATATGTGTTTTCTCTGTCAGTGCTACAGAACACACTAACCTCATTTTCAGCTTGGAGCAGTGGTAGCCAGTTTTCTCTTCTGAGAACCATGACTCAAACCATCTCCACTGGATGTGCACATTATTATTATAGCATGTTCTTCAACACGCATGCAGCCTTGCAATATTCTTTTAAACTCTCTGTACGAGCCAGACAGCTGCCAGGAATTAAGGATCTCTTCATTCATAACCAGATGAGCTGTGGGTTAGGAAACTCATATCTAGGTGTGTGTTAAATACCTATTGCTAGCCATACTACAGGTTGGCCACTCATGGCTGACAACAGCTGCATCTGGTTGCCTGCCTATATCTGGTGATTTTCTGCAAAAAACCCCAACACATCTGCGGAAGTGGGGCAATGCTTGGGCATGTGCCATCTGCATGCCGGGGGTGGGGGCAGGCATGCATGTGCCACTTTGGAAGGTTGCAAGCTCAGAAAAGGTTTGACATGGAGCAGTGAAGAGCAATTTCACTATTGTGCCCTCAAGGACACTGTGCAACGCTGTTCATAGGGCAGGGGGGCGTGCCACTTGTGCCCCAGGCAGCTGCAGCTAGAAATGTGCCCTTCCTGAGTGCCACCGGTCAGTGGAACTTGCAGAAGGAAGCTCTGCTCACCTGTCCCAAGGTGAAGTGGGGCTTCCACTCCTTTCAGAGTCGCTGTCAGCAGTGCTAAGTCCCTGCCCTGTTGACAGTGGGTCTTTTAGCACAACAGTATGAGTAGGAGCATAGCAGCCGTGCTGGATGTGGCTCATAATGTATAATGCTTCGGATGGTAAGGCACAAGGCCGTACGTCCTTCCGCGTGGCAATCCTGCTCCTCTGTGCATTCCAGCTCTTAGAAAAGCGCAGGTGTCAGCTGCACTTTCCACGTGCCTCAAATCAACTGTCACTCACAGTACATGCCTAGAGCCTTTTCATGCACCCGCGTATCCCATCCGCTCCCGCATCGTTTGCTCCATCGCTACTTTACAGCTTTCAGCTGTGATTGGACCAACTTCAGCAATGCCCTTTGTATATGCATTCCGTCTTTAATATGCTTGACCTCTAATGGCCAGATGAGGCCTTAGTCATGAAACAATAAACACAAGCGTATGAACAAGCCTGAAGTAACTCTGTTTAGCGTATGAGGCTGGCAGATAAAAATAATGTATTGCCCAGCTCTTGAAAAGGTAGCAGATGATTTTATCAATAATCAAAAGGAAAGCTGGCTGCCTTGTTACATATTGCTATGGACAAAAAGCACAGGGCACTTTGACGAAGATAAGTTCCAAGTCACCCAGTTGAGCAGAACGTGAGTGCTTTATGTTGTTATTGACTGTTCACCGAACGGTGGCCTATGCAGACAGTGCAGATGAGTTTTATAACTCTGCCCCAAGATTCACTAATCCCATAATGTATAATGTAATTCAGGCCTAAGATTTTAATGCACAAATTGGCAACAACAGCTATTCAGTGAGTCCGTGCCATAGATCTTGCTGCCACTACTATGACTTCACTAGCTGCGTACTTTGTCTTGCCTCCTGAATGGACCAAGCTCCAAAAAGATTTACTAGAATGTAGGCTTTGCACACTCAGCTGCTCATTCTTTATTAGAAAAAAAGGTAATTTATACTACCTTCTAACAATGCAGCGCCTAGCAATGATATGGTGAGCAAAAACTATACAGCCAGCTCAGTCTTGTCTCCAATGTCCATCGTGTTCCTAATTACTGACATTGGTAAAACTTTATTAGCCTTCTGCTGTTTCAAGTCCCATTTCCATGCCTGGTAGTAATATGACTTTTCTTGTTGTACTGGTCAAGGGGAATAGGAAAAGGATGTTTCTAAGTCTAAGCCCGCTGACCTGATTTGGTGTCACCTTCCTGAAGGGAAGAGCTGATAACTCCCTGCATGCCCCCACCCTGAAACTGAGGCCTTTGTTCTAAGCAATCGGTGACAGAAGATGGCACAGCTGCTTTTGAGTGTGGATATCACTGGATTCAAGGGGCAAGTCTTTTCAGCATGCCATCAGCTCCCTGCAGCTCCCCATAGCTCATCAGAGACTGGAGGCTGGCTAGTGCTAGCATGGAACACTCCAGGCAGTGATGCTGTCTGGATTTTTTTCCAGGGGCAGCAGATGCAGGGAAGTTTGACAGGACTTCAGAAATG